TAATAATAATAATAATAATAATAATAATAATAATAATAATAATAGTTAATTCTTTTTGAACGTGTAATTAAAGAAAGATATCCAGTAATCTTTTATTATCTAATTTGGGTTTTTATTTTTGTTATTATAGTATCAATCACTATAAGTATTATTACTGATTTTTTCTAAAGACTAATAGATATAAAAATGATAGTTGTTTAAAAACTACTAATAAATACAATTATATATGAGCCCTTGAAATATTATAGTAAGCGTATGCAAGTGGTAATAACTGTAATGGAATTTGTAATTTCTTATTTTTCTTAAAATAATTATTGCAGATCCAAATTCACCGCTACAAGTTGAGATTGATATAAGTGTTCGTAGCATGGGACCAATCTCAGAACAAGACATGGTCAATAGATGAGCACTTGAAATTCTTTCACTAATTAATTAATAATTAAATTATTCATTCAGTAATCGACTATTGTACAGTTAAATAACGAATTTTAGGAATTTTCTATGGATTGTTACTTCCGGCAAAAATGGTTAGATCGTCGCTTAGCTTTTGATACTTTTGGTAATCGCAAGGATTTACCAATCGCAAACAAAATGCTAAAGGATATCTGGACACCCGACACGTATTAATTTATTCCGTTATTCTTTTATTCAAGAATAATATGCAAACAAATTGATAAACAAATTTTGCTATCAATTTTTTGTATTAATTAAAAATTTAAATTTCAAAAATAATTCAGTCATTTTTTTCCTTTAATTAAATTAAATTATGCAGTCCTTTCATCAGACAAATTATTTGCAGCGTTAATTTTTTCACTAAATGAATATATATAATTAATGCGAATCTCTGCTAAACTGTTTTTACTTTCTCCTTAATAATTAGCAGAAGTTTAAATTTTTGTGTAATACAGATTCTGTTTTATTTTCAAATATGAAAGAAATTCTATAAAAAATTATTTACTTAAATTATAAAATACTTCAGATATATCCGAAATGGAAGACAATCTTATTTGCATACATTAACTGTACCAAACGTTTTATTACGTGTTCGTTATGACGGACAAGTACATGTCTCCCAAAGGTTAATATTTATTTACATTTATTTGTTTTCCCTATTTTTCGCTAAAGTAAGCATTAACAGCCAGTTTTATGAGTTAATTAGATTTTCTGCAAAAAAAGTAAAAAACAATAAGCTGTAATTAGGTAGCGATTCGATAAATCTCGAAAGTTATTGATTACCTCAGTAGCGAAAAAATTAAAAGTAAGATGATTGCATAAGTTTAAAAATTTGCTTGAACGAACCATTTAAAAGCTGTCACAAAAACTTGCATTAAATGAAGCACAACAAAAGATCTCTGACTTTCAAAGCTTACTTTTCAATAGTTACAAGCTGAACAATAGCCAACAATTCAAATGATCTCATACATAAAAACGTTAATTTTTGAAAAATCTAATCTCGGTGTAATAATATCTAAAAAGCTTCATAGTGCTAGTTAACACTATTGATGCACATTGGCACAATTGTGTTGTCAGAAGTTCCCATCATCAGATTGGTAATCTAATAATTGCGAGTAGTTTTATATTTTTTCAAAAATTAGCAAAAAAAAGACGAGCCTTTTTTAGGTTGACTATTCGAGCAAGATGTCAAATGTTTTTTAAAAAATTTCCAATGGATTCTCAGGTAAAATTTTTTTAACTTTTGCGATTTTCAAAAGCTCTGATAAGAATTTGTAATTGCAGCAGAAGAAAAATTACTGATTCAAACAGTAAAATTTAAGGTTTGTCCAATTGAAATTGGCAGTTTGGGTTATTTTTCCAAAGACATAAGTTACGTGTGGAAAGACGTAGAATTAGATTCTAAAATGAGCAATATGCTCGCACAGTACCAATTACTTCACGTTATCAAAACATCGCACAATTTGACTGACTCACACGATAGTAAATTAGGTGAGTTAAAAATGCTGGTAAATTTTAAAAAATGCAAATTAATTTCTTCATTTTAATCAAGTTCAAATCAGAAATAAATGAGAATTAATCATTAATTCCTGAACTTCACTTATCCTTCTGAATTCCGTCTAGTTATTTTATAATTTTTTCATCAGTTCCTTTCTGATTATATCTTTTTTTGTCATAATCTAAAAATAAGTATGAATAATTTCAAACTTGGAATTATTTTAGCATTTCGATTTAACTGCTATTATAGAATAGAATTTTAATAAAATAGTAGAAAGAATTTAATAAGCTTAATTCAACTGATAATCTCAGATGATAAAGTTTCAACGAATTTAGAATTCAAAGTATAAATGCACTAATGTTATCTAAACTAAATTTTTTGAAGATAAATCAGTATTGAAAGTTTACTTTAAATTACAACGTCAACAAGGCTTTTATATTCTGCAAATTTACACGCCATGCACGCTGATAGTGGTAATGTCATGGGTGAGCTTCTGGATCAACAAGGAGTCATCGCCCGCTCGTGTTGCTTTAGGCTAATTCTTTAACAAACTTCAAAATTTCCCTCTTTGTATTAATTCCTCCTAAATCTGACAATATTTCTATATTTTTAGATTTTTACTTCTTACCCTATTATAGTAAAAATAAAGTGTTGCCATGATTCTTTATTCTGATTTATATGAATTAATGAAAATTTCGTTTTAAATTTTTGAAAATTGCATTTTTTTTCATTTTTTTAATTCATATTAATCAGAATAAAGAATCATGAAAAGTGATTCAATTTATAAATTCAAGCATAAATTCAAAATTTGTAACCTTTCAACTGACTATAACAAATTTTAGGTATAATGACAGTACTTTCGGTGTCAACACTTGGCTTCGGTTCTCGATCTGATCTACCAAAAGTTTCACACTCAACAGCTCTCGACATTTACATCATGTAACTATCACTTTGTCATTCACTACTTTCTAGCAAACTTGCTAATAGTTTGTCTTCTTTGACAAACAAGATTGTAAAGCAAAACAACTAATTTACTAGTATTTTTTAAAATTTCTTTACACTACTATAAACTCTTCATATTTGGAAAAATAGATGTTCATAACACTATCCCGAACGTCTTGTAACTGATCTGTTACAGCTCGTGCTTTGGATTTGTTTTTGCTGCAATGATCGAATACGCCTTCATCAATTATGCAAACCGAGTCTACCTGCGCCAAGAAGTAACTGAATCTTTTTCAAAGTGAAGAAGTCATATTTAGTGTGCTAGATCTGATCATTTTCAAGTTATTTACAATTAATTGTTGCTACTTTATTTTGCCACTAACAAAATTACAGGAACATGACTTCAAAGGATTGGAAAGCAGTGACGCAGTATGTTTTATCACATATTCATCAAGTCATTTCAAAATCATTTACGAATGGTCTTCAGAAACTTAGCTGCACAATTGCAAGCGCATTAAATTCAAAGATAATTCGAAAAAATAAACAAAAAACGAAAACAAACAACAATTACATTAGTAACAAGAAAACAAATACGAGGAGTCATTTAGATTCCAAAAATGTGCATATTCTCAACATCACTGATGACACCAGCAGAAAACGAAGGTACTTACGATGAAACATTGGCTCTTCGACTAGCCTCGCAGCCACTATATCGACGACTATTTCTATCGTCAGAAAAAAACTCAAGTGCGTAAACTTTCCCTTATTCGCATTCTTCTGTTAATTTTCGACATAAATTTGCTAAACTGAGGCTTATATGCATTTCACTGTACGAACATCCCAGTGAAAAAAAGAAAATCCCAATAACTTCAGCTCGTAATCACAGAGACATGTACTTATCATTCAAAATTCAAATTGCAGTGCTGAATCGAATCACAAGCCAAGCATCGAGAGCAAGGAAAAAATTGAAAATAAGAAATCCCGTAAATGCAGTAAGTCAGATCGATTCCGCTTCGAAAGTTGTCTTTCCATCACTTTACATCCTATTTAATATTGTCTACTGGTTAGCATTCCTTTACTGGATTCCCGATGAAATAAGCAGTCTTATTAAGTGAGTTTCTCTTATACAAATATGATCTAAATTAATTTACTATACTAAACCTTTTTTGTAGTCCTTCAAATATATTATTATTTTACTAAAATCACTAATTAATAAATAACAATAAAAAGCACAGAAGTATAATAACGAAAGAAACGTAAGATTTATACAAATCGTCTCCTTTTTCGACCCGTATACTTTGAAGATGCGCAAACATCTCTGAAATACGTGAACAACTGAAATGTTTGAAAAATGTTAACAGCGTTCAATAAATGATATATAACAAAAAACTATTTTTTTTCAAGATGTTTAAGAACAGAAACGTACTTTCCACGCTTACGTGCACGTTCTTTTTTACTCTCTATCCAATCTCGCGAACGTTTCACAACCACACGCTTTCCACGTTTTTTGTTCTTCCATGACCTGAAAAAAATACCGACTTTTTTGCTTGATTTATAATAATGTAAGTGACAAAATACAATGGTATGTTACCTTCTTTCTATGTTCGAAATATGATCGGTATTTTTATCCTCAGTTAATGATTTAGGTAGCTGTTGCAAACCACCGACCATCAAAACCAAATAAACTCTACAAATATCTGCTGAGTACATGCTTTTACTGAACTGCAATTTGTATCAAACTTAAAAATTCTGAAAGTTCATGTTGTTAAATTAAATAGAAATTGGAGAAAGGGAAAAGTAATAAACTTTTTGGCTTTGGAGCTGTGTGGGTAATCAATAACAAGGCCCCCAGTGAAACCTGCTTTCATGGCTTGAGTTGTTATAAGTTCTGACTGATCGATAGTTTCTGGATAAAACTGAAGTGCGGCACGAGAACCTCGACTCTAAAAATATTTTTTAGAACAACATAATCTTTTACATCAATAGCAATCGTGAATCAAAAGTCTCATGAAAAGTCATATGCCCTTTAACTCCTAGAAAATGACAAAAAATACTGATTTTAAAAATAGTCCTTTTAAATAAATATTTACCAAGCATGCATACAATGACTGAAAAAAACAAAGCAGCCGCCTCCGTGGATTTTGGTCTTTGCTATTAGCGTGGCAAAGCCACTGAAGAGCAGATATGCTGGAAATCAAATAGACTCCATTTTTATGAAATATAATAAATGTATCAAGTTGTAACTGAGTAAAATGATGATTAAATGCAACGAAAGCTAGTAAATAGAATAAAGCAAAAACAATGTTTGCTGTTTTCACATACCTAATTGCACCATCAAATGTACCTGGTCGAAAAGGCAGGCCAACGCCCATATCATGTAGCAAAATATCGCCTTTTACTTCTCGATCTTCTGTAGCAACTTCTAAATAATGAAGGTGATACAGTACTAATTGCCAATGAATGATTAAATAACAAGATCCAAAATTTTCCTTTTGAGCACCCTTTTTTTCTTTTTTCCGAATACTAGTAGACAATCCGGGACAAATAGTAATTACTTAACATCAAAGATAAGTGACAAAAATTAAAGTCCTCATTCCCTCTGTTCAGCTTTTTGTTATTAAAACCAAATTGATATAAGTATGAATGGGATGATTTATACTACTCACTTAACATTGCTTCACTAATGTCCACGCCAATCCAATAATAACCCATATCTGTAAGCATTTCTCCGCTTAATCCCGAACCACATCCAATATCCAGGATTAGTCTCGGTGTTTCATTGTCTGGAATAGCAAGCAACTCAACAGCTCTTTCCGTCATTTGTCTTTGGATTCCAATAATGTGTGAGCTGAAAGGATTTCAAAATGATATCTGCAACTCTATTAACGATGAAACCGAAAAAAATAGTAAGAAAAAATTTTTTGTAAGTTGTGGCAAAAAAAGCAACAAACTTACTTCCGAGAGTACTTTGCAGCTTGATCTTCATTATAATACTGAAAAAAGTTAAAGCTGTAAGTGATCCAAATGGCAATTAAATTAGCTGAAAAGTTCTAGAAGCCTAAATATATACATTCATTACGGAAAGCACTAAAAATTTCTTTAATGTCTCAATCTCTAGAAACTCGAAGCAACAATCAAATCGTTTCGATTTTGAAAACATAAGATTTCCGAATGATTCGAAAAAAGTTCAAACAAACATTTGTGAAGAAAAAATAATCAAAACTAGTTTATAACCAGTAATTTGAACTACAAATTGACTATGAACTACTCTGAGTATAAACTACTTTTGCAACCATAACAAACTGACCATCATAAATTACAACGTGTTTTTTTTGTACCAATTTTTGTAGAAAAAAAATGTGACACAAGGCTTGATGAACAGACTGATGAGTGTGGTGATTTGTGAAGTAGGACTAATGAGGAAAGTTAAAAAATGCAAAAACCAACAGTTACTAGGACAGTCAATCTAACAAATATTCACATAAAAACATTGGCAGTAAATAACGAACCAATTCAGGTGGACCGATGCATTCAGGACGGGACATTGTGTTAGATGTATAACTCACAAGTATATCCCAAACAGTCTTATCCTGGAAGCACATATATTAATAATAACTAAGATTAAATAAATTGTATGCGCAGCTTGAGAAGTTTGTTTATTTAGAACTGTGCAACTCGTCCAAAAATTATTAAAAGAATCACATTTGTTGTACTATTCGTGTAAAATATACTAAAAAGACAACTTTTATAGTATTATAAGTGGAAATTAAATCAAATGACGCAAAAAGAGACACACAACAATATGAGACATCAAAAAAGTAAATAAATTCAAAGTATTAAGCGAGTAATCAGCTAATTGGCCCGAGTTCTTTGCACATTGGGTAGTATGTTTCTAACGCGTTATTTTGTGAAGACTGCTTTCGTAATATTCAACAACTAAAATTTTCAATTTAGTAAACGGAAAATTTTACGTCAGTTTTACACTTTACGTCAATTTTGCTGTAAATGTAATTTTGACATATTGAGGACGTAATTATATTACGTGTATGTATATACCATTTGTTCTGCTAACACTTTAAATTTCCGGGCTACTGAAGAAAAAGTTCAAATAAAAATTTATCAAGTTAGTAAGTGAAAATATTTTATGATTAATAATCGAAATTTTGTATTACAATAGGTGAACAAGGCCTAACGGTCATATTGATGATTGTATCTGGTGATTTGGTAAGGGTTGGAGATGGGATTAATGCGGATTAAGAGCGGCAAAGGTCAACGATTAGGAAAGAGAAGTAGTAGAGAAAAAATCATTGTTATAAACTGCCTATTTATCAGTTTTGTATATCTATCACAGTTTTTTAATTTGTATTTATGCTTAACTTGTATGAGAATAGAATCTTTTCTGAAGCCTGAAATGTTTTAGATTTGGTGCAAACAAATGTGATAATACTTTTCAAAACTTTTTGAATTTCTTACACTCTGCACTATGTCTTGGAAAGTTTGTTTTAGGCAAGTTATCTATAGATGTTCTCGCTTTTATTATGTTTTGAAATACAGAAATAATTTACGGAAAGTTTTTTACGCTTAATATGACTTTAACATTCTGAAACTTGTTATGTCTTGTATGGTATTTTTAAATGTCATTAATTCTTAGGTTTCATGAAAAATTCGGTTTTTCATTGCTCAATCTCAGAATTCAAATATCTATTTCAATTCATTTCAGTCAGCAGTTTATTTATAATGCCAAAAGTTTACTGACATTGTCTTTCTCACTTACCTTAGGCTTTTGCATTACACTGAGTTACTATGCACTACATTAGCAATTATGAATTACATATAAATCACGGTATATGATGTGATTATGAATTACTTAAAGCAATGTATCACAACTGTACTTTAATAAATGGTAATATAAATTAACGCTAGTTCATTGCATATATTTTATTACATCTAATTTTGTAGCCAAACCTAATGCCATATTCCTTATATCGCTGAAGGAAAAGGTCAATCGATTTAAACTCTTGTGATTGGGAAGAGGATCTGGTTAGAGTTATCCAACATGAGAAAAGTTCATTTAATTGGTCTGGCCAAAGATTTATAAGAGTATTGTTAATCGAGGGTCACTTTATTGTTTGAGTTGATCGAGAGTTGTTGCTCGCTGTACTTGAGCTGTTATATTATTATCCTTAACTGTTGCTGCGGAAAGTTTTAGTTAGTGCAGTTTATAAAGTATTAGGCATATGGAGTTATTATTTTATATTTCGATCTCGATAAATTATCACAATCCGATTTCATACTTTAAGAAGATTAAAATATAGTCTTGCAAATCATTATGACGAAAGTATCGTATACTCTGTGCATACGATATTATTCTTTTTTTTTCATTATAAGCTTATAAATAAAAGGCCATTGGAGCTACTAGAAAGTTTTCAAAATCATTTGATACTTTATTCAAAATTATGTTTGGTAGCTTATAACTCATAAATTTTCAAGAATTTATCTAAACTTTGACAACAAGAAACATCAGTCAAAAGTTATTAAGTGATTAAGTGGAAATATGATTTTCGGATTTATATGTTTCTTGCGTTTTGTTTTATTGTAATAGTATAAGATATTACTGTTATAAAACTTTTAACAAGTCCAAATGTTGAAAATCTAGTTACAGTTCCATCGAGCAAAGGAGAAGAATTGATTAGTCACAGTATCGATAAATTATTGTGTAACAATGTCCAGTTGGGATACATTGGATGATCTTGTTATTAAGAATGATGATCCCAAAGTCACAAACGCTTTCAAAGAACAGGAAATCTGTCTTGCAAAAGATAGCGATAATGCTGATGTAGGTTGTTTATAATTATTGTTTCATCTCACACTTATTATGATGGTTGGAATTGACGAGGTTCATGAACGCATTATTCACATATCAGTTCAGTTTTTGTTAGAATTTTCCTTGAAACTGCAGTTTCATCTCATATTTTGTTGTTAATTCCGTTTTCAAACATGTTTCAAATTGAACTAACATATTATTCCAGCATAACTTCTCTGCTGATGCACTTTGAAATTTGTATTTTCAGCGTAAAGACGACAGATCTATCATATTATTAAGCAAAAACGATACTGTATCACAAGTCCAAGAAGAAGAGAATGGAAGTATTGTTGTAGCCGCTGATTTTACTGAAGATAATGTGGAATTAACTGAAGTAAATGATTTTGCTTTCAATTACGTTATAGTAATTTGAGTTCCATAAAACTTCTGCTAATATTAATTTACAGTCTTAATTATTGCTCTAACTGAATGAAATTATACTTGAACTGAAATGTAATTGATTTTCATCGTACTAATAGCTTAAATAAATGCTTAATTGCTTTGCAGGTCTTGAATAGATTTAAAACCGAATACGAAAATATAATCTCTGAATTTGCGGACGTGGAGATATTTTTAATATCACTGGATGGATTATTAATTGAGCTTACTGCTCATACTTATTTAAACTGGACGTTAGGTGGACAGACTATCGTCATCGCTAAACAGGTTAGAACTGATCATATTTGCACATTATTGGTTGATTAAATCGTGTGTTTATTTCTACTTTTTAGACACCTTGCATTTTCTTATCAGTTTGCTTATATCGCGAATATGTAGTAGATTCAATTTCTAATTTTTAGATTGAAATAATATTGAAACAACTCACGGATATTGGTGGTAAATTCAAGCTTATTTGGTTTACGAATTTGGCAGTCATGTATGCTAAAGATACAGTACTAAACTTTTTGCATAGTTTCGTCGCAGCGTACTTGCTACAGAGCAAATGGGCGTCATTTGTCGTTAATATTTCCAGTCCTGCTGATTCAGTCTGGTCAAATTACATACGTGAACTCACGCCATCATTTATAGTACGTTTCTGCTTAACTCGTATATGAATGAAACCTTTTTCTAGTTTTTGAAATGGTATTTTTTTAAATCACAGATTGCCATTTCTTCATCTTAAAACTAAAAAAGCGGTATACTTTGTAGATAATTGGAGTTGCTGACGTATCTGAAAAAGTGGTTGCTGAAGATGGATTAGGTTTTAAAAAGATGCTTGCTTCAATCGCGATTCAAACACTTGCTTTAACTACTCCTGTCGTCTATTTAAATGGTCTAGTTATAAATTTGTGCTCAGTATACAGTCATTATGTGCATCCACATACTGTTAGTTTTAAAGGATGGGAAAGTTACCTGAATAAATTATGGAACGATAAGAAATTTGGTATGACATTCAAAGTATTTTTTATTGTCTTTGATCCTTTAAAATTTTCTGCACGTATGTAATTTTTTTAAAACTACTTAGATATTGAAAGTTGTTAAATGACATTGGTATTTACTTGATTTACTCGTAGTTAGTTTTAATTTTATCTATATTCATTACATTCCTTATGACTATGAAAACTTTTAACGGTCTTGTTATAAATTTATGTTTTATATCTATTTTCACTATGATTATGAAACTTCGAACAAAAATTTTGGTTATCTCTAGCAAGTCGCTAAACATATGTATATCGAATCCCCAATAATTAGTGTTTTGTATGTATTTGCAGAAACTAATCGAAACATAGATCTTTCTAGCTGCAAAAACATTTCCCATCTGTGGGCTCAGGTTATTGGAAATTGCAAAAAGAAGTAAGTACTGTTCAACAATTTAATTTCATCAGTACATCCTATCCAATATTGAGGAGCATGATTTTAACATATGCATTTCGCTTTTCCTATTACACGAAACTAATAGTAGAGTAGATATAATAAAGTTTCTGTAAAGGAATTTAATAAGCTTTCATTTTGTGACGTTCTATTTAGATCAAATACTAAAGTTGATAGCATTTATACTGATTCTGAACTTGTGTTGCAGTAGTAAGTTGCAAAAGGATTGTGACCTCCTTTCGTCAGCCGTGCTTATTTCTTCACTGATTTGTGAATATCGTGGAATGGAACGTCGGTACCTTGTAGAAAGTCCAGCATCCAATAAAAGCAAAGATTTTATCAAATTTCAAAGAACATTGCTAAGTTCATGTTCTGCTTTACTTGATTCACTTGATCTTGAGGTAATGATTCTTTTCCTCATATGATTTTGCCTGGTTTCAGATTGTAACGAGAATTTGTTATTTTCAGTTTCAATAATACTACTGTAATACATATAACAATTGCAGCATCATTCTTTGTGCTTCTCGTTAATTGATCTTTGGGATGGACTGTTAATAAATGGAATATATAACGCGATAAAATCAGGTGTGAAGGTAAATATTATTTTGTATTATATCTGACGCATAGATAGCAGTATGTGAGGAATTTTCACTCGATGTTAATTCATGACCCATCAAGTAATAAATTAGTTTTACTTTATTCCTTTTTGTTGTAAGTCGAGTATAATTTTCTACTTTATATTTAAAAGCAAATGGTTTTTTACAGATACCATCTTGCATCCAAAAAAAACTGGCATCTTTGCATCAAACGGCATGTCTTGAATTATCTCTGGAAGTCGACACGGAAGATGCTTTGTTTGGCCCTGTAGTTAAGAAAGAGTTGGACTTCAAATGTTTTCCACTTTTACCTATAGATTGTGCTTTGCTAAGGAAATATGCTCCTGAGATTCAAAGCAAAATTCAGGACTATTATACGGAAACGGTAAAACTTGTTTGCTCACATATTACAAGCGATTCTGCTACTACATAAATACTCATGAAATATACTTTACTGTCTGTGGTGTAGTAATGCTGCCCAAAATTTTTAACAAAAGCTTTGAAATGAAATTAGCCTCTTATTATTGCGGTTATTATTTAAAAATACGACATTCCTTTAATTTTTTATTGTTTTTTAAGAAGCACTTAACTTTAGCATCTGTATTGTTTTTTTTTTTTGGATTACCATGTTTAATTATTTTTCTACTCGAAGATGAACTATTTTTCATGCCAGCATTCATTGTTTTTTCATTTAAGGAACCGCTTACTTTCGCCAACTTTTCAAGCTGTTCACATTGGCGTTTTGATATCATTGAAGAATCTTATGGAATGTCTGAGCCCCCAACTGATGAGATTCATAAATATGTAAATAGAAGCAGACAGAAGCTTAGTGCATGGTTATATATTTTTACTTTTTTAAAAGTATTGTTTGACTTATATTGCTGAATTTCATCAGTTTGTGAATTAAGTTGAACATTTTAATATATCTGCAGGTACGAATTGTTTGCTGAATCTCTTGAGGGACGTGGCACTGGATTATTAGTTGACTTCACCCGCACACCACGCAGTTTCGCTGCAAGAAATGACCAGAATGATAAGAAAAAGAACAAGGAAAAGCAGCAGTGGCAACAAAAAAGTAAAGGCGGTAATGCGAAATTATTTTTATATTTCGAGTCTCTTGGATTTTATGATATTACTTGAAGTCATCGATTTTCCCTAATCATATTCGGTTGCGGCGAAATTGCTTTTTCAGAATTTTCTTTATTAATAGTTATGTGCCAGGTTTTTGAAGTGGCAACTGAATTTGGAATTTGATCATATCTTGAATATATAATTGAGAAAGTATTGACAGATGTCAGAATCAGTAACAAAGAGGCATCTGTAAAATTTATGAGTTTTGCATGAAAAATTAAAAAAAAAACTGATGTAAATTTTTGTTATAGATCAGCAACATTTAATCTTAATTATTTGGCAAAATTTTAGGTTCCAATGTCAAAAATGGAGGAAAATCAAAGAAAGAGATGATTTTAGAAGCCAATAAAAACAAAAAGCATGAAAAGCTTGTAGAAGATGAGAAACGCATGATTCGATTTGCTCTGCAACAAGGGAAGAACGTTAGTTATAACTTCGTTTAAAGAATTATGTACAGCTTGATTTGTTTTGCAGGACTTTCAAAAATAATGCATATTCTTTTGTCAGATTAAAAATCAGAAATCCTAAAAACTTTATCTAAATCTTCATGAAGACAAATTGCTAATCTTAAAACTTATTTCCGTAACGAGGAAATACCTAAAAATCAAGTCGCTCATAAAATTTTAAACGTAATTTCTATGTTGCACATGAAATCATGTACAGTTCTTATGGTAATGACCATTTGCCAATGAGAAACAGAATTATTGACTTTCGAAAATCTTCCGAATTTCAGGCAACGTTCATTCTGGAAAGATTGGTCGATAAAGTCGAATTAGATTCATCTAAAGCAATATGTGCTTATGAACAAGTATTACGTTTAGTCGATAATATTAGCGAATTAGAAGGACGAGATTTTCTTGAAAAACGAAGAGTACAGGCTGTCCCCATTATGCACAAATTGAAAAACCTTTTCACTGTTTATTGGAGGCATTTGAACGATAAGCAAAAAGAATATGTACGTTTTTACAAAGTGGTGTTAGAAATAATTACAAGAGCTAGAAGCACATTATATTATTATGTGAGTGAAGTTCAGACGGTCATGTCATGATATTTTTCCAAGCTGTTTTATTGTGATGGGCTTACGTCTTTAAAATTAATTTGTAATTTATGACTTTTTCAGTATTATGAGTTTATTTTCTGATTTGAAAGGTAAATATATGTCTGAAAGAGCTTATAATGTTTGAAAATTCATGGAAAGGATGTTTTGAATTCTGAAATTATGATCTAAAGCATTTTTTAGCTCAGTAATATTTATAAAGTGTGTTTACATGTTTTGTATTCATTGCAAATGCAGATCACCGACTTATGGGAGTCTTTGGGATTTGAGAAGAAGAAAAAACAAACTGCTTTCTCCGAAGGGAAATTAACATTAAACATGAATATGGTTTATTATCAGTTAGCTTATGCTGGTGAAGTCATTGATATCCAGTCGGACCCACAAAAAGATGACCGTGTGACTGGTTTCCTTCCAGATGCTTGGCAGCGAGCAATGCTGGATGTCATTGACAGAAGTATTTTTTAAGCCCTTCATTTTATCATGTGAAATAAAAACAAATAGTGGTGCATATACTTTGCCTTTTTTTAAAGTACTTTAGTTTCGTTTGAAAAGTATTCGTTTCAATTAGTTGCAATTCTATTGTTTTAGATAACTCAGTTATTGTAATTGCTCCAACTTCTGCGGGCAAAACTTTTGTGTCATATTATTGTATAGAACGGATATTGCGACAGAGTGATGATGATATGGTCGTTTATGTTTCACCTTCGAAGGCTCTTCTTAATCAAGTAAAATCTCATTGTGTCAAATTATGATCACCTCTCATGAGTTTTCATTAATCATTGAGTTCTAAAATTGTCGCAAATAGTTTAATTGATTTCAGAAAATAGCTGTTCAAGTATGGTATAAATTTGGCAGTTTTAGGTTTGTGGTTCAGTATATGCTAGATTTCATAACAAAACCTTAAGTGGTGGGAAATCACTTTTTGGATTTAGAACCATGGAATATGAAGAAAATCCATGGAATTGTCAGGTATCTATTTAATTCTATTTTTTACAAGCATTATTTTTATGCATGATTACTTAGCATCCTGTGAATGAGTAAATCACGAAATGTTGGGCTGTTTCTAACGGATATTGACTTTGTTTTTTTGTGGATCTATTGCAGGTTTATTATCCAGTGAGTTATTGTTTCTGCGTATTTCAGGTACTCATCACTCTTCCAGAGTGTCTTGAAATTTTGCTGTTGTCCACAAATCCACAATTGCAAGCAGTAGTTGCGAAGATAAAATATGTCATTTTTGATGAAGTAAGTTTGGCGATGATTGCTGCAGAATTTTGGATATTATTCCCTTTATCCTGCAATGTATGCTTTTCATCTTTTTGAATGATTAAGTGGTTTTTCAGGTTCATTGTATTAGTGCTTCATCGAATGCTCAAATATGGGAGCATCTTTTGCTTTTAATAAGATGCCCATTTCTCGCCCTTTCGGCTACTATCAGTAATGCAACAGTTTTTCATCGATGGTTGCAGTCTGTTGAGAAAAGCAAAACTGTGGAAGGATCACGTTTACGAAAAGTTCGTTTAATCTTTTAAACAATTAATAAATTATTGATTCGCATGGGTTTTTTTCTCAGGATTTCTTTTCAATACTGTAACGTCGTAGGTCTTGAAATTCTCGATACACTGATGGTCTGATCTTGTTTTTTTGCTCCTTATATTCAGTTTCTTAGTATTCACAGATAATAATTATAGGTCGAACTGATTACATATGGTGAAAGATACTCCGAATTAGAACTTTCAATGCTGCGAATCAGTAGTGCAGATAATGCTGGAAAAGAAGATGGAAGTTCTGTGAACTCTATGATTGAGCATTTTATGCCATATGGAGTTTACAAACCGACAAAATTGTCAATGTTTGGTATTCCAGATGATCAGCAATTAACTGCAAGACAGATTCTTGATTTATACTATGCTCTTGCGGAAGTAGATCAAGTAGTGAAGTGAGTCTGCTTCATTTCTTGATTTTATCCTTTTAAACGGATTAGTTTCTGCTCTAATATTAATCGTGTTAGGCACGATTGTTTAGTTCTTATTATCAAATAAGCGAATAAGTTTTTATTTCTAAATAGATGGAACTTTTCTTGATCCAAATATCTGTCGAATTGTTTTCAGAGATGAGTTTGAACCATGTAAATTTTTCAACTACAAGTCCGAAGGCGAAAAGGTTTGGCTCACTCGTAAAGACATTAGACGCTTGGAACATGCTTTAAAAAGTCGTTTTTTGGAATGGCTTAAAGAAAATCCGAAAAAAGTCGAGCATGTTTTGCAAAAGATTCGTACAAATGTAGCGTGTGAATTAGATTATAGGAGTACTCCATTTGACCAGGTTTGATTTGAAATTATTATTAGCATAAAGTTCTCTTTTTGAGATTATTTTTAGCTATTTTCTAAATGGTGTAATAATCAGTTTCTAGCAATTACTGTAAAATGTTCATTTCAAAAAAGTTTTTTACTTGATGTTTTGCAAAAAATACAGCTGACACATTGTGGTATGGAGTGTTTTTTTTTTTTTTTTTGTTATTTCTTTGAATACTTACATTTAGCAAGCCACTGCTATGAAAAGCATTTCTCCCTTGATTTTGGAGTTACGTGATAAGAATTTACTTCCTGCAATCTGTTTCAATGAAAATCGTCGTATATGCGAGAAACTTGCTGTACAGCTTTGCTCCCACCTTGAAACGCTACAAATAAACTTTGAAATGAGCCCAGAATACAAAAAATACGAAATTAAGGATGAAGACGTGAGCCATTATATACAAATTAGCTGTTGTTAGTGGTTGTTCAAGTTGTCGAATTTTTTATCGTCATTGTTATTTTGTTTCCTTTTAGAAGAATTAGAAGCTGTATTTTAGAAGTTTATAAAAATGGCTAAGAGGAAACGAGATGTTGCGACCAAAGAGAAGAAAAAATCCAAAGCTAAAGACAAGTTTGAAAGAGCGGAAGAGGAAGAGCAGGAGAATAACGATCAAGATGCTGATGATTATGATCCACTTGCAGCCAAGAAACTTCGATTAAATATGATTTTAGAAAAGTATTGTGCTTTATCATTTCAATTTAAAATATATTTCAGCAATGCTGGAATATATTTACATTGAACAGTATCAAGAAATAATGGCTTACTTTCTAATATGACATGAGAGCAATAATTTTTATTCAGAATTTTGATACATTCGGAATTTCATTCGCTTCTTTTATTGTCTTGTTAGTAAATATTTTAGTTGAACATTTTCCAATTTTAAATCTTAAAAACCTTCGTCGATTGCTTCTTTTAGATTCAAGTTACATGTACGACCCCGTGATGAAATTTTATACGATAAATTGACTGGAAGAATGTTGAAAAATAATGGTGCGACACGTGATGATGTAAAATTGTTACTAAGACTTTTTGATCGCGGCATTGGATTCCATCATTCAGGTCTTAGATCTGTGGATCGCGGTGCAGTAGAAATATTATTCAGGTTTCATCTTTCTTTCCACTTGTCCTCCATTTCCTCAGTAATCCATTTATTGTAATATAATGCTTTTGTAGTTTCAAGCAGTAGCATGTGACTTCTAAATAATTTTTTTATATCGAGGATAATGTAGCTCTATATATTTTGAATTTTTGTAAAAATTGGTTTTATAGGTCAGG